GTGTGTGTGTGTGTGTGTGTGTGTGTGTGTGTGTGTGTGTGTGTGTGTGCGCTCGTGTGTGCATACTGTAACATCCTGAAGGATTAGGAAATGCAACTGTCATATTGACATCTATATCCTGTCTGTTTTTCTCTGTTTGTCAGTTGGAGTTGGATGGGAAGGTGGGCTGTGTCCACATGCTGCTGTCTCCAGATCAAATAATCCATCTGACAGACCTGCTGGCGGCCCTCTGCATAGACACGGGTACAGTAAAACACAGCCATTGTGATAAACATGCACCAATCACCTGGTTACACCTGACTCTTGCCATTGAATGCTACGTGTGTGGTCACAATGTGATGCTTTAATGGCTTCTGGACTGAAACAAGATAAAGTCATAGTCGGGTTCTAGCGAGGCCTGTTATGAGAACATGAATAAATTATAATCAAATCCACTTCAGCATTCAGAGTAATTTTCTGTCCATACAGAGTATAGCAAATACTTGTTTCTCCATCTTTAGGATGAGTAAAATGTATAAATGATACTTACATTTATTCATCCACTACAAAATTCATTACTTCTTCTGTGTCTAGTAACCACGAGGTAATCGGGCGCCTACAGGCTTTAGCAATACATAATGTAAAACCCCTCACAGGCAAGAACAGGTGCACCCAGACAATACGCCTGCGTTGGTCACAGACCTCCGTTAATGCCTCATAAATGTTCGGTCACACTCCACCTCGATCTCTTTCTCTCTCACAAACACATTCATGAATCTGTTTCTCTTTCCTCTCTCCCCAGAGGACGAGACTAAGTGTGGCGGAGCACTCAGTCGTCCGTTGGACTCAGACGACCTGCGTATGATTGAGGAGGACCTCAGTAAACAGCTGGGCTCCAGTCCCAGAGACCGGGAGTGGGAAACCGAGGCCGACCTGGAGCCCTTCATCTCCGGCCTGGCGAATGGAGGTATCTCAGGTCAGCTAAGGTCCAGTTACAAACGGTCTGTCTGATCACAACCTCAGCAGGCTTGCTCCTAAAACCATGTAGTTTGTAACCATGTTGTTTTGGGCTGTTGGTTCAATGAGAACATGCGGTGGTGTGAACCTAACATGTTAAATAAGAAGAGGGCTCATCTGGAAAATACTGCCACTCCTTTCCTTGCAGCAATGTTCCCTGACGTTTGTGTACATTGCAGTATTTACCTTTTTGTGTGTGTGTGTGTGTGTGTGTGTGTGTGTGTGTGTGTGTGTGTGTGTGTGTGTGTGCGCGCGCGCGCTACACTTTGGGTCAAGAAAAGCGCTTTACACATAAAATGTATTCTTATTTTTATTATCACCTGCAGACATGTTTTTCTCGATGGGTCCTGTTGGAATGACCAGTAGCGCGACGTCTGTGCGCTCCGGCAGCGAGTTGTCAGACAGTGATATGGAGTCGTCCACACACAGTCTGGCCAGCTTCACACAGCCTGCATCTTTGTCTGCACAGGTACAGCCTATGTGTGTGTGTGTGTTTGTGTGGTATGTATGTGTGTTGACAGTTTAGGTATTTAGCAGATGGCCGTAAGGAGATCAACAAGGCTGAAAACCATCAGAAAATGGAAGATGATTTCCTTTTCTTTTTTCCTTGATTAGATAAATAAGCTTAAATTCCTAAATTATCAATATAGGTTTCCTTTAGTATTACTAAAAATAATATTGATGTTTTAATGTTAAACTAGTTTTTTTCTAAAATACAAATGGCAGAATATTACCACAAGATATATTTGAATTATGTGAGCTCTCTCTTTCCCTATTTACAGAAAACAACAACAAACACAGAGCTGGAAGTTGTAAATGTACGCATTAAATCACAGGTAGTCAGATATCCACTTTATTTTTCCCTGCCAGGGCATGGTGAACTGTCCCAGGAGGTATCCTGTAGCAGGCAGTCTGTCGAGTCTACCCCAGGCAAGCGGCCGGACCAGAGGTAAAATCACTTTCTTACCATTTTACACAAGAGTTTGACCTTCTTGCCAGAATTTTCCCAAAGAAATGTGTCTTTGAAAAGCAAGGAAACCTGAACTGTCATCCTCTTCCTTGCAGGACGTTCACACAGTGGCCAGGCAGAGCAGCTGAAGCCTGATGCTTTGTTGCGTCTGAGTCTTGGCGGGTTCACCCTAACCCTCCTGCAGGAGGACCCGCCCTTTAAGCCTGATGGAGCCTCCTCATTGGCTCAGGTGTTCTTCCGGGAGCTGGCCTTCTTCAAGGACAGCATGTTTAGTGAGCGAGACTTTCACCATCTGAGAGGCGGTTTTGCCAAGGCCTGCACACACTCCAACCTCAGGTAGAAAAACACAGACGCATATTTAGTCTTTGGTGAGTCATAAGTTGGGTGGACATAGCTTCACACATAATTTCCTTTTACAACAATTACGGATTGGAAGGTACTTATTTTGGGCGTGTTGCATACATGTCTGATGGAATTGTAGCATGTAACTAGCAGCCCGCTGTATTACAAACGTTTTTTTCTAATTCTCGTTTGCCCTGTCGTCCATTCTCTCACAGAGTGACCGGAGCAGCAGTGCAGGTTGCTTGTGAGATGCGCAGCGGAAGGCACCACAGTCGGGCCGTGACCTCTGACCTTTCCTTCAGCAGACTGGAACTGTTGGAGTGCCTCTGGGATGACGGAAAGCCTCAGTACAGTGAGGTAGAAAAACCCCTTTGTCGGTCTGTGAATCTCTGAAGCTGACCCTGTGGCTGTGTGCACACTTTTAAGACGTAAAACTCCATTACACCTTCGTCATTGTATTTTCAATTTTGAACAATATCAAACAGTAGCAACAGTAAGTGGTCACATACGGTCATTACAAGGTCTAACATCTGAGTATGTCACAGCTGTTCTTGGTCTTTCTTTTGTAGTACAACCAACGGCATATATGTTTATGACTGCCAGCATAGAGTCGTGATAATTGTCACGTTGGAGAGAACTTAAAAAAAATCACCGGGAATTGTGACATGTGAGACGACTTTTCAGACTGAAGTTACTTTTGACTAAACTTTGTACCTGTGATCTAAAAGTAGTTTGTGTTTGTTGTTCTCTTTCCACGCTGATATGGATGATTGTGTCTCTTTATGTTTCTCTTTCCAGTTGCTTCAGTTCCAGAAAGCTGGTCTGTTCACAGTTGGAGCTGCAGCCAGACCATGTGCCCAACTACACTACAGCCTCACCGAAAAACACCTGCGGAAAGTACGCACTTATATACACACACACACATACTCACACACACTCTGACTTGATATGTGCCTGTTAAAGTGAAAAACCTTTCTTATTTAAAATAAATATTTGTTTTTAATTGTATTGCTTTTTGGACTTAACTTTCCAAAACCTATATTTTGCATTATTTGCCAGTATTAAATGTTTTATCTCTTATGCATCAATAGCGACTTTTTTTGTTTTAGTTCTACAAAAATGTCATCAAAATAATTATCACTCTAGTATGAAATGAACGGATGCATTAGTCTATCCTTTAACACATGTGTTTGTGTGTGTGCGTGTCTGTGTTGGCAGGGTAAACAGCGGGTGGTGCGGCGGGACAGCGTAGTGCGGGTGGAGCTGGCAGAGCTGAGCGCTGAGCTGGACCTGGACATCCTCAGTCGCCTGGGGAACCTGAGCAAAGCCTTCAGCCACTGTCCCACACAGACTGCTGGACCTGGACTCATGCAGGTGGAACCCCACATACATGTGTTCATCATAAAGACCTTATTACACAAAGAAAAATCCCTAAACATAGTAGATCTGCTAGCAAATGCAATAGTCCGTAAATTAATTGAAACACATGCCAGAAAACACCGTGTTTAGAAGAGATGCATCAAAATTTAAAATGAATAAGAACTTTCTCAAGAGTCTTCAGATTGCCCTTAAGCAGCTTGTAGAGCTTCAACAGTGACAAATACAACTGACTACTGGCTGCAACTGTGTGACTGAATCAGCTCTTAAAATCCATCTCTCCTCAGACCCAGAGCAGCGAGCTGTACTCCTCCTTCACCCTCCTCTCTCCCCACGCCATCCTCAGGCTTCGCTTCCCCATACCTGACCTGCGGCCCCTCCCTCAGCGCCGACCTCCGACCCAGAGGGCGGTGCGGCAGGAGACCCTGGTGCTCGAGCTGAGTCAGCTGGAGCTGAAGCACCAGGAGGCCCCGGACCTCCAGAGCGAGCAGACTGCTCCAGGACAGCCGTGGGCTCCTTGTCTCACCCAGCTGCTGGAGGCCTCCTTCACCGACCTGCATGGTGGGAACACACGCAACCCTAAACAGTAGCTGTTTGTTTGTTTGACTGAATATTCATGGGAAGAACAGACATAAATAGACAAACAGTATACTGACCAATGCTCTTTGCTCAACATGGACAATCCAAGGTGTTGTCAATGTGTTTACCAGGGTAATCCGCTCTGTATCATTAGTGCTTTCCAGTGACTTAAAATGATAGTTAGGATGTTTGTGGGGTTGTATGATGTACTTATCCGTAGTAACGATAGTTAGGATGTTTGTGGGGTTGTATGATGTACTTATCCGTAGTCGGTGTATTTCCTACAGTAGAAGGCTGTCGGCTCGCCCCCAGTTTGGAGAAACAGACAGAAGAACTGACATGGGAGCAAAGCAATGTACTGCTGTGGACAGCAGTAAAACATATTTTAGCTACCTAAAAGAAAGGCTCACCTAAAGAAATCAATATCAGATTAAGTGAACGCTATATTTAGAACATGTTCGCCTCTTTAGCTTGCCGTGAGCCTTTTTTAGGCTGGGCTTTGAGGAGAGCACAGATTACGGCTTCAGTACCTTGTCTGAAAGGACTGTCTGAGGGCGAGGTAAAGCAGTGGATACAAACTGTAAATTGGACAAGCACCTCATACAACCTCACTTCTGAACTATCCCTTTGAATTAGCATCTGATTTTTAGAAAAAGCTCCTAGTTTTTGTTAATATAGTGCCATTATTTAATTTCTATTTACCTCATATAGAGAGTTATAGAGAGACTATTGCACATGTAGAATGTAGTCCTGTAGAACACAATTCATTGTTAAAAAATCTGTTAAAAAATGTATATATGTATATCTACATGAAGCAGTCCTTTTGAAATGTGAAATGCAGACAGAGAACTGATGTGTTGTGTGTCACCAGGGTCATATGAGGGCTGGGAGGGTGGCTCTTTCCCCTGTATCAGAGTAAAGAAGAACCGCGACTCTCTGCCGAGGTTAGTAGTGGTGATTATGAGAATAATTAGATCTATAATTCACAATCTGCTAGAAATTAGCGGTTTACGGTACCGAAGCTCTCAAAGGGAAATCTAAATGTAGTCGTTCTTGCTCATAAAATGAGACAAAAGATATTGTTATAATGTGCTCTACCACAAGCCATTTTTCCTTTTGTTTCTGTTTCTGTGAGCAGGCTATCAGTGTGTGTGCGTGGAGGTGAGACTCAGGGCCCGGCTGCAGGTCTGGATGCAGGTCTCATCAGGGACCTGGGGGCCGCTTTCTTTGAAAGTCACTGTGAACTCAACGACAAAACCAGCTCACCGTTCTCCTCCAACCGCACCATGTTTGAGACTGAGGAGGTGCGCTGACACACAGAAGAAAACATATAATTCATCATCCATCTTATCAAGTTTCCAGAGCGAACTCATCCCTCCTCATCTCTCCTCCGTTATCGTTGTAGATGGTGATTCCAGCCGACCCAGAGGAGATGCGTCAGTTTCAGGGGCAGTGTGTCGCTCAGTGTCAGTGTGCGGTGGACATCAACCTGCCGCTGGCCTACATCCTCCTTCCCAGCAAACAAGCCTTCCAGAGCTTCTACAACAGGTACGTCAACAGAAGCACAGGTGTGAAGGCTCCTTTCCAAGATAACATTATCCAGGTATCCCCCAAATGTTGGAAGATGTTTTGAATTCTCTTCAGTTGAAGGTTTTTTTTTTATTGTACAGCGAGTTCACTCCAAGACGTGGTCAAGAAATATCTTCCTCTTACAGCTTTGGTCTATATATTGGTCTTAAATCTTGGTCTTAAATCCTGCATCTGAAGTAAAAATAATGTTCCCCACCCACCGCTTTGTCCCAAAGGATCAATAATGATCTGTTGATGTGGGAGCCTCCTCCCCGCTCAGCCCACATCCCCGACCACAGCCGCCATCACCACGACGAGTTCCAGCTCTGCAAATCAGCCTTTAGACTAGGTGAGTTCGACTGCATTAGTGGAAAAACAACATGTAGATCTAGTATTTATAATAGCAACAACAGATCACGTATGTTTTCCTCTGTCTTCTCTCTGCCATAGACTCTGATTCAGAAGAGGACGAGCCTCACTTCTACTTGGCCAGTGAATCATCTGGAAAGACACAGCAGTCAGCTCCCCGCCCCAACCACAACCTCAGCCTCCTCTCCCTCACTGTGATTATCGGCAAAGGCCGCCTCCAAGCCAGAACAGACAAGAAGGTGAGCCATGTGGCCGTCGCATCTCTAAGACCCGAGATTTGACTTAGTTCAAAAGACTTAAAAACAGCTCTGGCTTGATCCATTCGCATTTTTAAGATTGTATCTATTTTTATCCAGGAATGTTTGTGTTTCTTAACCGTTGATGTTTCATCTCATTGATTCAGGAGGACCAGAGTCATGGGGAAATTGTGCTCGACCTGGAAGGGGGAAAGATATTCAGTGTGGCACAGCACCAGAACGACCCCAATCTCAATTTCCTGTGTATAGAGAGCAGACGAGTGGAGCTCTACCATCGAGGTACATAATTCATATTTTCCTTTCAGCATTATGTTGAAGTAGACTTAACGCTCAGTAGACAATGTTAATGTTTGTTCTGGGTCATCGTTTCTTCCGACTTCACCACTACAGCGGTAGTGAAAGACACCCCCATCCCACAGCGGTTGGAGATGCCCAACTTCACTCCCCCAAAGCACTTGGACCCTACCATCTACCCTACAGAGGTGGGTGTGAGCAGTGTGAGCGGCAAGGAGGTGGATCTACAGATGTTGTCCACAGCCATTAAAATCACACTGGACCCACAGAGGAGTGTGAAGGTACGTCCTCCTCAAACGCCTGATTCTGCTGCTGGTGCTAGTTTGACATTAAACAATGTTTGTTTCTGTCTCTCACTGTAGGAGTTCCTAGTTGCCCTTCGACTTCAAGGTGCCACCATGCGACATTACGTGACGCAGACTAATCACAGCTGGCATGAGCAGGTGAGCAGAAGTACAAGGAAGCAAAAAGAAACACGTCTTCTTACAGATTACGCAACAGTGTCTTCTCGCTTCCTCGTGTTGTTGTTTAAAAGTTCATGAAAGGAAAAATCTCTCCCTAGACTTCCTCCCAGTTAAACCATTTGGGTTGTGCAGAAAAATAAAAACCTTGTTTCACATGGAAATCAATTCAGGTGGATGAATATAAAATGGTTTGTGTGTTACAGCTGGTTGACTTCCTGGATGTGATTGATGATCCCATTCTGGGATACACAGCACCTGCCGTCATCACTGTCCTCCACACACACCTCGCTACCTGTGCTGTGGACTACAGGTATATACTACAGCTACAAAAAAAACTGGGAAATTTACATTTGTATTATACGTTTCTCCTTTTTTTTCCACCCTCATCTTCTGTTTTCTGTTTGCCAGGCCTCTGTATCTGCCACTACGCGCGGTGTTCACAGCAGAGTCCTTCTCTCTGTCTAGTAATATCATCGTAGACACCGCCACCTTCCACCTCAGGTACAGTTCACCACTAACCGAACGTGAAGATTGCCCATTAAATACAACAATACTCCAAATCTTAATATTAGACGTTGAAACAATAATCAACACTGCAAATACTTCTCAAATGTAATGTATCACAGTATGTGAGCTGGTGACTCACCGTGTAAGATCTTTGTCTAAGTTGTGTTTTTGTTTTGTTGCGGTCAGATTCATCTTGGATGACTCGGCTCTCTACCTCTCTGACAAATGTGAGACCGACACCGTGGACTTGAGGAAAGGTAAGACACGTGATGTTTACATGTTACAGTTAAAGAAAAGTAACTGGTTTCTCTACAGAGAGTGAGGCTGTTGCATTTGTTTGTTTGTAGCCCTAATGTCGCTAGGCTAGCTAGTTTATTCATGTCTGTTTACACTGTGTCCGTTAGAGTTATTCAGCAACCACGTAGAGCAGTTTAAGTCTGTTCATGTAACATGTTTAAAGAAATTCCAAATGAGTGAAAACGAGTGTCCGGATGTTTGTTACCTTACCCCTGGAGTAGGGGAACTGTCTAAAAAGGACTAGTGTGATTGATAACAGAGATGCTGTGAAGCTGAAAGTCAACATCAGAACATTTTTTTCCCCAAAACAGTAGTTTGAAAAGGAGGTCACCTAACAATCAGTGACGTCTTATTTTTGGGATAATACGGTAGTTAGTATTAGTAACGTTAGAGAAAAGATTGAATGTTAAAATGAGCTGCACTCTAATAAAAGCCACCGTGTGTCTTTGTGTCACACAGACTATGTGTGTGTTCTGGACATTGACCTGCTGGAGCTCGCCATCACCACATGGAAAGGCAGCGATACGGGCAAGCTGGTGAGTGCTCGCCATCTGTTTACATGAAGCACACAGACCAACCCTGCCAGAGAGAACGTGAACGTGAACAAAACATTATCATTTTAGTTAAGTTTTCCTCTGAAACCACAAACAAGCACAGGCTGTTTCTAAATATTAGTTTTACCATAATGAACTTTCACTGTAATCACAGCTTCAGACAAAAAGACTGGGATTACTTCTCAGTTGGACATGGAACCAAAAACAAACGGGCGACAGTAAACATGTTGTCTGACAACAATGACGCAGCTGCCCTTTCAACCAATCGGTAGCACGGTGTTCAAATGTGAGAAAGTTCAGTTCAAAGTCTGTTATGTAACAATGCAACAGTGTTTTGTATTTGCATTTCCATTGTCTCATCTTGTCTTTGTTTTTATAGCATTCAGGTGTGTTCCTATTTATTTAGTTTTAGCTCCTCCCTCTCTCTGTCACCACCTTTATTGGTTCTTTATTTAAATGTGCCTCCTCTGTTTTCCTCTCTTTGCTCTCCAGTCTCAGCCTCTCTTTGAGCTCCGTTGCTCCAACAATGTGGTTCACCTTCATACCTGTGCAGATTCCTGCGCCACCCTGGTTAACCTGCTGCAGTACCTGGTCTCTCAGGGCGACCTGCACCCCCCACCGCGACACACCTCACCCACTGAAATCGCTGGCCAGAAATTACCAGTAAGACCAACGTATTCACTGGAGAATTAAAATGTGTGAATTGATAAGAACTGAATAATGGCCTCAGACTAGTTTATTTTGTTTATACCGAGAGAGATTTTCTCAAAGGGCTTTACAGTCTGTTTGTTATACCCTTAGATCTTTGGTTTGCTTTTTTTATCCACAGTGAAAAGAACTTTAACCTGGAAAAAAATATAGAAACCCAAGAGCAACAGAGGAGAGATCAACAGACAGACATACAATAGGCGTTGTTTACAGAAGTAGAGGTAGTAAAAAGAGAATACTAATGAAGTGTACAAATGTATAATAAGTAAAATTGTTAGTGTAATAAGAGTTGAAAAGTGGTATGAAGATGCCGTATAATTGGTTAATGTCCTCCTATAATATTCTGTCTTGTTAGCTGTCAGAAAGTCCTGCCTCGGTGCTGCCCTGCCCTCCAGCTGAGACCGCTGAGATCAACCAGTACGACCTGGCTGATGCCTTAATTGACACAGAGAAGAGCCAGCGGGAAGATCCAGGTACTGAAGAGTTTCTCTTTTTACACAACTCAACATCCAAACAGGATACGGTTCAGTAAAGTTCTGCAATGACCCAGGTGTCCTTGTTTTAAGAGGAGGATTGTGGGCCGATGCATTTAAATTGGTTTCCATAAGTGATATAAAACTGAATTTTAAGGAGGAAAACATCAAACTCAGCCCCTGTTTTGCCGGATTCCACTGATACAACAATATGGACGTTTGTATGTGTATATTTGTGTGTGTA